CATGCTAGTAAAATAAAAAAAGAAATAGGATTACATTGGTCATCTGAGGGAGGCCTTCGAGATTCTGAGGCAATATGGGATGAAATTGAATCCCGAAAAATGCGCCTTCGGTGTAACTTTGGGAAAGTTCCTTGGTTTTCTGGTATCGCAAAGGGGCATCGAAGTCAACCCGGTTCAGATCAGAGCCAATGAAGGAATACCGGAGATGTTGACTAGCGAGAAGCAGGTGCAGAAGTTAACGGGACGAATAGCCGCCCTGTCAAGGTTCATTTCACGATCATCAGACAGATGTCATAAATTCTTCAATGTGCTGAGGAAAGATCATGGATTGCAGTGGAATGCAGAGTGCGTCGACGCCCTGAGAAAGCTGAAAGCATATCTATCCTCGCCACCACTACTTGTCAAGGCAGACCCGGGTGAATGCCTACTAGTATACCTGGCAGTCTCCGAAGTCGCGGTAAGTGCAGTCTTGATCCATGAAAACAAAGGTACGCAATCTCCGATTTACTATTTCAGCAAAACCTTAGTTGATGCTGGAACAAGGTACCCACACTTTGAAAAACTAGCTTTGGCACTAGTCGTAGCTTCACGAAAGCTTAGACCATATTTTCAATGTCACCCCATAAAAGTGGTGACAACCTTCCCTCTCAAGGGAATCCTACACAAACCCGAATTATCGGGTAGATTGGCCAAATGGGCCATAGAATTAAGCGAGCACGACAAAACATACCAACCGCGAACTGCCATTAAGTCGCAGGTGCTCGCCGATTTCATCGCTGATTTCAGCGCCAAAATATTGCCTGAAGTAGAGCAGGAGGCGCTCCGCGCTTACGCACATTCTGACCTCTGGGTCCTCTACACTGATGGCGCATCTAATGCATCGGGATCGGGACTGGGACTCGCCCTCAAGGTTCCTACGGGCGAAGTAATTCGCCAGTCCATACAATGCCCCGAGATGACTAACAACGAGGCCGAGTATGAAGCTGTGATTGCGACGACTCGTCCTCCATTGCGACTCTCAACTCGTAGTGAACCAAGTCACCGAGACTTCCCAAATCAAAGAACAAAGACTACAAAAGTACCAGTCAGAAATTCACAAACTGCTGCCAGAATTCGATGAATGCCGCCTCGACCAAATACCCAGGGCGCAAAATATCGAAGCAGACGGCCTCGCCAAGCTAGCAGCCGCCACCAAAAACATCAACAAGGAAAACGTGGTCACCCTCCTACATTCCTCCATAGACCAAGTTGAGGTACATTCTGTAAACCTAACCTGGGACTGGCGCAACTGTCTCGTAACATATTTGCCGGATGGAACGCTCCCACAAGATAAGAAAGAAGCCAAAAAGCTTTGAATACAGGCAACTAGATACAGTCTCGTAAACGGTGGTCTCTACAAGAGAACGTTCGGCGGCCCCCTGGCCAAATGTCTTGGACCAAACCAAACAAGGCGAGTACTGGAAGAAGTACATGAGGGGCATTGCGGCGCCCACACAGGAAACCGCGCCCTCGTCTGATGCCTCATCCGCGCCGGATACTACTGGCCCACCATGAAAAAAGAAGCCGCGGACTACGTCAGGAAGTGTGAACTGTGTCAAAAGTACGCCCCCATGATACACCAAGCAGGGGAACTCCTGTATTTAGTCACTTCGCCATGGCCATTCATAAAGTGGGGGATGGACATTGTCGGACCCCTCCCAGCAGGACGAGGTAAAGTACGTTTCCTTTTGGTTTTAATTGATTATTTTTCTAAATGGGTGGAAGCAGGTGCATACACCCAAATACGTGAGCAAGAGGTCATCGCGTTCATATGGAAAAATATAATATGCCCATCCCCAAAGAAATCAGCTGTGACAACGGACCTCAATTCGTCGGAAAGAAGACGACCGAATTTTTCGAAAAAATGGCACATCAAACGAATACTATCCACACCATACCACCCCGCCGGCAATGGCCAAGCCGAATCTTCCAACAAGGTAATACTGAATATCTTGAAAAAGAAGCTCGAGGACGCCAAAGGGCTATGACTGAACTACTACCAGAAGTACTATGGGCATACCGCACTACACCAAAAACCAGCACAGGCGAGACGCCATATTCACTAGTCTACGGGACCGACGCAGTTATACCCGTCGAGGTCGGAGAGCCTAGCTTGAGATACTCCAGCGAGAGCGGACCAAACAACGATGAAAGTAGGCTACAAGATCTGGATGAAGTCGAAGAACGAAGAGAAATGGCCCACATAAGAATGGTAGCCCAAAAGCAACAAGTAGAAAGGTATTACAACAAGAAGGCCAAAGTGCGACCGCTCAAGGTTGGAGATTACGTTCTTAAAGCTAAAACACAAGCACCGAAGAACCCTAATGAGGGGAAACTAGGAACAAATTGGGACGGACCATATAAAATCACGGCGGCAGCAAACAAAGGGGCATTCCAGTTATAGACAATGGAGGGAAAACTACTCCAAAACAATTGGAACGTCGCTCATCTCAAATACTTCCACTTCTGAAGGGAGGCGCCACCCAAGTCATACTCTTTTTCCCTCACCCGGGTTTTGTCCCAATCGGGTTTTCCCAGTGAGGTTTTTAATGAGGCGGCAAGGGAGACGTCTCGAGGTTTGAAGTATTGTTCATTACCCCGCCCGTCGACGTGTTCTCCGGACCAAGTAATGAAGGGACTGGATATATATGATCAAATCTCCATTGTATATGCAAAATCGACATGTGATCCTTACAAGAATATAATTAAATCTCCATTGTATGTGCAAAGTCGACATGTGATTCTTACAAGAATATAATTAAAAATCCTGTATGAATAAAGTCGACATGTATTTTCCTACGGGAATTTGACCGAACCTCCAATGCGAACATCCCAATGGCCAAGGCCATCGACGAAAACGAGTTCGACTTCATTCGAACCACGACGGGACCCTACTTCGACGACAGTTCGAAACAACATCCCAATAGCCAAGGCCATCGACGAAGATGTGTTCGACCTCGTTCGAATTACGACGGAATCCTACTTCGACGACAGTTCAAAGAAACATCCCAATGGCCAAGGCCATCTACAAAAACGAGTTCGACTTCATTCGAACTACGACGGGATCTTACTTCGATGACAGTTCGAAGCAACATCCCAATGGCCAAGGCCATCGACGAAAATGTGTTCTACTTCAATCGAACCACGACGGAATTCTACTTCGACGACAGTTCAAAGCAACATCCCAATGGCCAAGGCCATCGTTGAAAACGAGTTTGACTTCATTCGAACTACGACGGGATCTTACTTTGACGACAGTTCGAAGCAACATCCCAATGGCCAAGGCCATTGACGAAAATGTGTTCGACTTCATTCGAACCACGACGGGATCCTACTTTGACGTCAGATCGAAAGTAACATCCCAATGGCTAAAGGCCATCGACAAAGCAAAATCCGCATAAAAAGTTCGACAAGTATTCGAGATACCATAAATACTATAAAGGTCACCACTGGAGGGAAAAGCCACGGACAACGGGTCTGCCTCAGAAATCCCTTCGTGGGATGGATGCGTTCTAGGCATTGTTGTGGCAAGAAAGATATTGGAGTAGCAGAGAAAGTTATGGGCGAAAAATGAAAGAAGATGGAACGGAAAAATCGTGAGAACAAATGCCGGAAAGATGAGGAAGAGTAATCGGAGGTGGAATGGCCAAGAGTTTTTGAAAAAACAAATCCTTCACCTACTTATAGGATTGGGTAGCAGCGGAATCGAAGCAAAAAGCAGCAGAGTAGCACCGGAATCGAGGCGAAAGACTGCAAATTGGTACCAAAATCGAAGCGACATACCGTCAGCCCCAGTCTCGAAAATGCGCATAATGATGACGAAAAGGCAGATGACATCATTTCATGATGAGACACAACACCGATACCTTGCTGAGCACGTTGACCCCCTACTATTGACCAGGATGTGGTACTTCACGAAACAAAATTTCTCCACGAAGGGAAAATGATGTCCGCTTATCAAGGACGCGTCGAGTTGCGACCTTGACAAGCAGAGGGACTAACTGTATGGGTCCACATTTAGACGAGCACGACCAACGACGAGGTTCTCACAGTTTAACACGGCTTCGATAAGAGGTGCTAGGGAGGTTCCTTAGAGGAGGCCCTGGAATATGCTTTTCAGGATCTAGAAGGGGTTTGACCTTTATATATACGGGGGGAATAGCTTTGTAAGGGGGTCTTCTTCCTTTTTCTCGATCTGCAACATCTCTAAGATATAGCATCAATTGTAATACTTTCCGATAATCATTTTCTAACATCCAATCTTGGATCTTCATGAGATCAGACAAGATTATTCGTGTATTCGTTACTTATCTTCTTTCGTTCTAAAGATTATTATTCCTAGCTAAGATTTACCCCTTCATTTTCTTTGATTGATTTGTTCAAAAAGGTTGTAATATCTTTTGATCCAAACACCTTCAACAATAGTGTTGTTAGTACCCCTTTTTTTTTGAGAATGTAACATATTTTATATGTAAGATAAAGTAACCCTTATCGCAAAGATTGTGCTAAGAAATTACAGAAAGTTACAAGACCCCAAAAAGAGCAAAAACCAATTTTATTGTTAGTACCTATGGCAAAAATAAAAATATAAATGATAAACTTCAGGTGGTAGACTCGATGAATTAAGCCACTGATCATGTGAAGATGAAAAAATAAGCGACCACTGTAGTCCTCTTTTGTCCTATAATAAGAAAAATATGAATAACTTACCATAGTGTCGTTTTTCTATAATCCTATTTGCTGAGTGTTGGGTCCAAAGGTACCTCTTGAGTAACATGAACATCAGATATGAAGCTTTAATGCTGTAAATTGTAGTCCAAATCCATGTGCAATGAGATGGTCATATAGTTACTAACATAAGGAAAGATTTAATAAATATTAGACGCAAAAATGATAAATTTATTTTCTTCCCATTCTATTATCATGAACCTAATGTATCACATTTTAGCAGTGAAATCAAAATTAGCTTAAAACAACCAGCGAGAACTTAATTCAGTTATCACTAAAGCAGAAGTGCTTCACTTGGAAAGTCTTCCAACTATAATTTCAGATATATGCTTACATGTTCATCACACAAATACACATATAATATACTCAAAAGAAGTTTCTTTAAATCAAAACTATTACACGTTCTCTCCTGGCGAACATATAATTTTAGGAATTTATGGATGGCATCAAGTGATGTACCCTTCATCTTACTCACCTCGGCTTCCATCAGCCTCATTGCCCCTACTGCAAGCCCATCTGCTTCTTTTTTAATCAGTTGAATCCTTAAAATTAGAACAAACTACCTAGCTAAAGTAAGTCATTTTGCCAATCAGAAATAATACTTGACATGACAGAAATGCATTACTGACCTTTGGGGATTTCGTTCACAGATCATTTCTCTATTCTCGTCAAATATTTCTTAATCTCCAGTGACAACTATGAAATTGACACAAAAATAGTGAATGAGTACATGCACGTGCAAAGTCTTTTTTTTTTTTTAAAAAAAGAGCCAACTCAAGAAATTCTACAGTAGCGTTTGATAGTTTTGATTGTTTTGAATCGGAGCCATCGAAGGATGAAAGAGAAGGGCAAAGAATTCATGGAACAATACCCAATTACAGTCCCCTCGGATCTCCAAAACTTCACGAAGAACATCCTTTTGGGAAATCTGGACGGAATCAAGAAATTTGACACCTAATATTCAAAGCAAAAAATACATGAGTAGACTCAATTATGAATAAACCTTAATGCACAAATAATTCTAAAATAGGCATCAGAGATTCTAAAGTTAGCAGTGATGCAACCAATATCGTCTAAGAAACTGGAGGAGAAGACGGAAAATCCCCAAAGAATAAACATGTACCTGTCAGTCGGAATACAACATCGCGAAAGCAAAACTCGAGCCAAAAGTGAAAAATTCTTAAAGTAAAACCAGAATAGTACAATTGAAGATAGTAAGAGAGAGATACATGATAAAGTAAGAGAGACGAAGGTGCAATTGAGACAATAGAAAGACCGAAGGAGGAGAACTGGCAATTAAAGTAGAAGTAAAAGCAAATGACCTAAAAAGATAAGTACGTGTCACTCCAAAAAAGAAAAACAGTTCAATACGTGTCACGAAGAAAAGTTGGCAGAAGCTATACCAATGAGATTTGACCAAATTTATAGTACAATACAAATTGCTTTTTGTACAATTTTTCATTGTTGTGTTCGTCCTCCTTGGACATTTATATATAGTAGTAATATAAATACCAAATATTTATTGTTTTGTAATTTTATTTATACTTTCTATACTCTTTCTTTTAAACATACTTTAAACATTACGACGTATATTTATTTGATATTGAAAATTAGAAAGAATACAAGTCGTTATTTTGATTTTCATACATCCCATCAGGGCCGCAATCTATGCCGTGCCAACATGTGCAAGGGTCTAATAAGAGAAAGAATACAAGTCATTACGGTATTGGTCAAAATTTGGATTATACTTAATAGTTGCAAATGGACGTGGTCAAGGATTAAACCGACCACGACATAAGGGCGAGGAGTTGTCTTAAGAAAGATTAGCGCCGAGGTCAAGAAACGGGCGTATGAAAGTAACGGTAGGATAAGTTGGAATAGAAAGAAGGAATATTCCATTGAATATTCTTTCGGTTGTACTTTTTTAGGGTTTCTCAGGGATATTCCCTATAAATAAGAAGAAATAAAGAACAAAAAGGGGATCTTCACTTTTTGATAAGGGCAGATTGTAAGGGGTTGACTATAGAGAATATATAAAAAGCTTGTCTTATTCACTGATTACATTGTTCTATATACGTGTTCATTCACAAGATCCAAAGATTCCTTATCTATCTTCACTATCTATCATCCCACGTTGCTGTCAGGAAAGGAGAATCATCCACCTAATATTTGGGTGATAAATTCCCTCTTATTACATTTATTTCCATTATCTACATTCATTGCATTCTTCTATTACTTCATTCATTGACAATCATTAAACACATACTTGATATTTATCATCATTGAACACGGTCCTACATCGCTGACATATCCCAGTTTTAGATCTAGGATTTATTATGTTTAACTAGGATTCTCCCTCTATTTCCTCATTAATTAGTTTAACATAAAGCTTAACACTTTTTGACAAAATAATTTGGCGCCGTCTGTGGGAACTTTCTAGTTAAAATTTTAGTTCATTCTAGATCAAGAAAAGAAACAACAACAACATCCATCTTTTTCTCGTTTGCACGAACTAACAATGGCAGGAAAAGGAGATGAAAGATTGAAAGCAATAGTGGACGTCACTGCCAACCTCTTGAACACCATCAACGAGGTTGACAGAGAAGGCGAGGAGAATGTGACGCCGAGTGATACACCCAGGCGGAGCGACTCACCTCCCCCTCATGGAAGTGTAACCGCTTCACGCAAAAGGGGAGCCTCCACGTCCACAACTGAGGAAGTGCCACCAGCAATAAAAAAATTACTGGAGACGTGTCTGACAAGTACTCTAAACAACATACTCAACAAACCCGTTCAAAGGGCGGATGAAACGCCGCACAAGAGGACACCACAGCAACCGCCGACGAACAACCTGCTCCCTAAACAGGTAACACTCACACCGCTGTTGATACAGGTAACGACGCACTTACGGCCATTCTAAAGAAAATGGAAGAAATGGATAATGAGAATAAAGCGCTCCGCGGCCAGATGAGGGAACATCAAGAAAGGGTTGATAAGATATCGGGCGCCTCGAAACTGCTACGAAAATGGGACGTCGGCCGGTTCGTCGAACAACCGTACAGCAAGGAGGCTTCCCCGTATGCCATACCCAAGACCTTCAAAATGCCACCATATTTGAAGATATACGATGGCACAACATACCCCAAAGATCACATCATTCATTACATCACAACAGTGAAAGGCAACGACCTCTCAAAAGAGCAGGTACCATCGGTGTTGCTGAAGAAGTTCGGCGAAACCCTAACAGGGGGAGCCTTATCATGGAAATCACAATTACCGGCATGATCAATAACAAGATTCGAAGAAATGACCGACAAGTTCGTCACTGTCCACGCCGGGGCCAAGAAAGCGGAGGCCAGGGTGAATGATATATTTGCCGTCAGACAATCACCTGGCGAGGGACTCAGGGACTTCCTCGCCAGATTCAACAGAGTAAGAATGAGCTTGCCAAACGTATCAGAAGAGATGGAGGTGACATCTTTCCAAAATGGGTTGAACAGGAATGGGTCAAGGGCGACCAGAAAGTTGTTGAGCAGACTTATGAAATACCCTCCCACTACTTGGGAAGAAATTCACAATGCCTATTGTACCGAGGTAATAGCAGACGAGAATGACCTCAACAGTCCAGCCTAAGGGCTAACGTCAGTCCAAACGGAGTCGAGGAAAGACCACCATAATGATGGCCGAAGAGACCATTCAGGCCCACGCCCCAACCGGGACAGACACCAACCATATGTCAGAGCGGCCATCCTGCCCTCTCCTTGCTATGCCGAAGGGCCGTTCAGGCCACATACAGGGACTCAGTGAAACGAAAAAGGTATGCCTTCACTCTTATCTGCTCACAATTTTTGTGTTTCCCCTTCAGAAATAGTGTACGCACCGGAGAAACTCGACTCGAAGGTAAAATGGCCACAAAAGATGAAGTCCGACCCAAGTATCGGAAAATCGAACGTTCTCTGTGAGTTTCATCAATAACGGGGCCACAAGACCGAGGACTGCATAGCCCTACGGCAAGAAGTGGTGAACATGCTTCACCAAGGACATCTAAGGGAGTTAATGAGCGACCGAGGAAGAGCCAACTTCGGCCGCGGATGAGAATAACACCAAGGCCCTCCAAAGCCACCCTCCCCTGCCCGCACCATCCAAATGATCATCGGCGGGGGCGACGAAGCAGCAATCAACCACGTGAAGTTTACCACCACACATAAACTAAAGCGGTCGATCACCCACGAACGGTATTATGACCTCGATGACAGTATAATCTTCGATAAGTCAGATACCCACGGTCTGACCTTTCCTCACTTCGATGCTCTTGTCATTACTTTACGTGTTTCAGATACTGATGTAAAAAGAATAATGGTAGACGACGGAAGCGGCGCATGTATTATTCACCCTCGAGTTCTCGCACAAATGAGACTCGATGACAAGATAGTACCACGCTGGATAACACTAACAGGTTTTAACAATGTAGTTGAGCGAACCTCAGGAGAGATAACGCTACCCGTTTTGGCCAGGGGCGTCACCCTAGAAACAACGTTCCATGTCATGAACTAGGACACAACTTACAATGCCACCATAGGGCGACCATGGATACACGCCATGAGAGCCATCCCGTCCAGCCTGTATCAAGTAATTAAGTTCCCAACTCCGTGGCGGATATTCAGCATCCGAGGCGAACAACGCACAACCCAAGAATGCTACCGCATCGCCCAAGATTGTACATACACGCAACAGTTAAAAGGAACAGACTCAGAAGCATAGTAATTACCAAAGTCGGGGCCCGAACTCAACGAACAAAATGACGTCATCAAGAACCCCGACATCGTGGAAGTCGCAGGGTCTACGGTAGAAGATCTCGACCCCGTCCAACTAGACAACATCGACAACAGCAAAAGGGATTACATAGGCCATAAACTCTCAGAACCAGGTAAATTTCATAAGTTTCTAATTGACAACGCGATCTGTTTGCTTTCTCCCATGCAGATATGCCAGGTATCCCGAAAGACGTTGCCACGCACAAGTTGAACGTCGATCCACTCTACCCTCCAATACGACAAGTAAGAAGAAAATTTGACGCTGCAATCAACGAGGCCGTCAGTGATGAGGTGGATAAACTACTCGCTAATGGCTCCATCCGAGAGTCGAAATACCCCAATAGGTCGCCAACATAGTCATGGTGAAAAAGAAAAAAGGAAAGTGGCGGATGTGCGTGGATTTCACGGACCTAAACAAGGCCTGTCCGAAAGACTCCTTTCCATTACCTCACATCGATCAACTCATCAACGCAACGGCAGGGCACGAGTTGTTGAGCTTTTTGGACGCCTACTCAGGTTACAACCAAATCCTCTTGAGGAGGACCTGGAAAAGACTACTTTCATATCCCATCAAGGGACGTACTGTTACAAAGTCATGCCATTCGGTTGAAAAATGCAGGGGCGACTTATCAAAGGCTGGTCACCAAGATGTTCAAGGACCAACTCGACAAAAAAATGAAAGTTTACATAGATGATATGTTGGTCAAATCAAAAAGGAAGGAAGACCACATCGACCACCTGAAGGAAGCCTTCAATATACTAAGGCGATACGGTATGAAGCTGAACCCCGAAAAGTATGCCTTCGGTGTAACCTCGGGCAAGTTCCTCGGCTTTTTGGTGTCACAAAGAGGCATCGAGGTCAACCCCGACCAGATCAAAGCAATCAAGGGAATACCCGAAGTATTGACCAGCAAGAAACAGGTACAAAAACTGACAGGCCGTATAGCTGCCCTATCGAATTCAGAATGCATCAAGGCCTTAAGAAAACTAAAGGCATACTTGTCCTCGCCCCCGCTACTCGCCAAGGCAGAACCCGGCGAGCACCTCCTATTATACTTGGCCGTATCAAAGGTCGCAGTAAGTGCAGTACTGGTCTATGAAAACAAAGGTACACAATCTCCAATCTATTACATTAGCAAAACCCTGGTCGACGACGAAACAAGGTACCCCCACCTCGAAAAACTGGCCTTGGCATTGGTCATAGCTTCACGAAAGTTTAGACCCTATTTTCAATGCCACCCCATATCGGTGGTCACGACCTTCACCCTAAGGAGCATCCTACATAAACCCGAACAGTCAGGGAGATTGGCCAAGTGGGCCATAGAATTGAACGAGCACGATATAACATATCACCCGCGAATAGCAATAAAATTGCAGGTACTCGCCGACTTCATCGCCGATTTCAGTGCCAAAATAATGCCCGAGGTCGAGCAGGAAA